TAGCCAATCTTTGGGAGGGAACATCAATAGCCATTCGGTCTTGTCGGGATGGAGTGCAAGCTTGTTCGTTCCCATCCAGATCCTGACAGCCTCCAGATTAAGTTCCAAACAAGCAGTAGTCAGTGGAACAGAATAGTTTGTCTATTGTCTCAATGCCAGTCTCAACAATAGAAGACAAAATCTGAGTAGTTTGTCCTCAGCCAGTCCTTGAATTGTCACAGTATCCTCAGTTAACCTAACATGTTTAATCTTTATTCCTGTTTCCAAGGAAGATGCATTTTAACCATGCTTTACAAACTGGTCCCTTAACTCCAGTCTCTTGCCTTCTTCCAGTAAATTTACTTTTGTAAACTAATATAAAACATATTAGCTTCTGAATATTTTGAATTTGATAAAACATTTCAAACTGGATTCAGCTTCTTTTTCTATTCCTTTCCCTGGAGCACCTGGTCTTCAATTTCTTCATCTAATTGAGATTTGGCATTATAATGCCTTTTCATGTTTACTGCATCAGAGCAACTCATTCAGTGCTAATGAGGCAAACTGCCTTGTCTTTCACCTCCCTGCAAAATAAATCAATTATCTAATTCTCTTTTGTAATAAGGCTCTCAAAATGAAATGATAGAAACTCAAGTTGCCTCTCTTCAAGAAAAACACCCTCAATATGTTTCCATCACACAGCTACAGGTTTTTCCTATGCAAGCTTAGCAAAAAGTTGAAGTAGTGTTGAAATCAATGTTTCAGATATTCTCAATATGTATCAATGCTGAAATACATAGGCCAGGGGCGGTGGTGATTTCCAGATCCCTTTGCAACTGGTATGGTGCAATGGGGCCGGGCATCCACCACATGAACGCATGCAGCACGCGCATGCATACTTACTGCCCACGATGCTCCAGCTACTCGGAGCATCGCGCAGGTGGCGTACACTCCATGCACGGAAGCCCCGAACAGCTCAAATACAGGAGCGCAGGTGGGCCCTCCAGAGCACCATACTGGAACGGTACCTGGTGCTCCCAGCAGGCACCGGTACACTTGTACCGGTCATATTCCACCACTGGCCAGGGATGTCAAACTCATGGCCTGCCGGCTGGAGGTATCATGTGCTGGCCCTGCCCGGTTTAGTGAAAGGGATGATGCCATGACGACGTGAGTTTGACACCCCGACCTAGGCTATGTATATCTTCTCAGAAGGAAGGGCAAATAACAGCCAGAAATGAAATGTAATCAAGCTCATTTCTCTTCATAAATTACAAAGCCACATCTTTAATCTTATAAACAACTAGATTATATTCATGCATTTTCCCAAAGGTGCTTTTTTCAAGGGGCAACTGGACTTTCTTGTTTTTCTTTGAAGATGTTTTGCTTCTCATCCAAGAAGCTGCTTCAGCTCTGTCTGGATGGTGGGGTGGGATGGAAGGATTTATATTCCTTGCAGACAGCTAGTCATTTGCATTATTTTCAGAGAGTCGTTGAGGCCACCTGGAGGTTTATCTGTGTCCTCAGGGTCCCCTGAGTGATGCAGATGGGTGCGGAGCCTTCTTGGAACTACTGAAAGGACTGTGTTGTAGACTGGAGATAGATGATGTTGTATCCCTCCCCCTCTGTTGAGAGAGGAAAGTTCAGTTTTGACATAGATGGCCTCTTTGACCCTTCTTTCAAACCAGTGGTCCTCTATGTCCCAAATGCAGACTTGGCTGTCTTTGGTGGCCTTTGTTTTTTTTTAAATGCAGACGGACTGCTGAATCTTGTACTGATAGGTCTGTTCTCCTATGTTGTGCCACTTCATAAATGCAAACCATCCAGTCAGAGCTGAAGAATCTTGGATGAGAAATGAAATCTCAACAAAGAAAAACAAGAAAGTCCAGTTGCATCTTGAAAAAAGCACCTTTGGGACAAGCATGACATGGATGACTGAGAATCTCCATAAATATTCATGCATTGATTTAGAATTAACCATTTCCCAAAAGCAGTTGGTAGAGGTGCTGTGGTAGTGGTTGTTCTGGAGTTTAATGAAAAGGCTTTGGACAATAATGAACTAAGGAATGGGGGAACGTCCCAAAAAGATCAAGAATACATGAGTTCTCCTTCCAGTCAAAAGTGACCTAATAGATCAAAGAGATAAATATAAGAAGAATAATGGAACTAGTATGGAGAGGAAATTTTGGTTTCAAATTATGATTTTGATGACCTGAAATATTTTCTGAATGTTGTCACTATGTAGGGATTCACACTTGTTATGCTAGTGATGGTGACAGTATTGAGAATCCAACAGGAGATGGGTTTTGCGATATTTTTTCCCTATGTCCTGCCTTTCTCTAGAGTTATTTAAGATAATATATTTGTGCACTTGTTTTACAGAGCCCGGCTAAATTATGGCACCCAGCCACATGTGGCAAATCTTGATTGGATATGGTTAGTAGTTCGGCTGTAAACCAGACTAGGAAATTAAAAACAAAAATCTGTGAAGAAGATGATGGCAAACGTATTGATGCCAAATGGATGTTTCACAGAAAAATGAGGAAACTACAGTACTTACTTTATGTCACAGTTATATGTCACTGATTGTTAAGATGTGAATTAAAATGCATTCATGTTGTTAAGACAATGTCTTGGAGACCTCTCAGTAAGGCTGCTATGATTTTGTTATCTGTACTTATCTTTCTAGAACCATCCTGGGATTGTGGAACAGCTGGTCACTTGCCCATTTAATGCTCGACATCAGGTGCCCAGGGATGAAATCAGTCAACACATATCAAGCTGTGATGACAAACGATGCATTGAGCAGGACATCGGTAAAAATAAATATTTAGGAATTGACTGTTGACAGCTATAACAGTCCCTTACTTTGCTGTTAGAGTTTCAAAAATGGTTTGTTGAATGTTCGCTTTTGCCTTCAAAAGGGCTTTCAGCATCTGTTGCAGGTATTATAGACTGTGTGGCTTGCTGTTGAATGTGTTTTGAAGTGGCATAGGTTTTTAGCTACTATTTTTTAAATGACCTAACAGGTCCTTTGAGTCCTTAGTTTCATAAATCAATGACTTTTTATTGTCAAACATTGTGACATAAATTATTGATGTTATAATAAAAGGTAGTCGGGGTTAGGTTTTGGAAATAATAATTTGGGTCACTGGCACTCCACTGGCGTTCAGTGGAGTGAAGCAAGCGGGAATAAAAGCTATATATTACTTTCCCTTTTATGAAATAAGTGAACATCATTGTGTTCTTAGTCCACAAATATATATAACAGAAATTGAACATTAGCATCATACTTGGAAGTTGATTGATTGATTGATTGATGCAATCATTTATAGACTGTCCATTGCTTAAATAACTCCAGATGATTTACCATGCTATACATAAAAAGTGATTAAACGTCATCAGAAAACTTACAGACAGACAGTACCATTCAGCACCCAACATGACCCATAGTATAAAATATTTTTAAGGACTTTTTAAAAACCAGGAAGTGTGGGGCATTTCTTATCTTAGGAAGTGCCATTTTCCAAAGGTTGGGCATTTACTGAGAAGAGGCATTCTTGAGCTCCTAGCTCCTTCACTTTCTGTAGTGTGGGAATCAAGATTGCATGGAGCGTATTGAGTCTGGACAGAATGGACCCTTCTGTTGGTACAGGAGTAACTTTTTCCCATCTGCTAGTTGGGCTAATTCTGCAAGGAGAAAGCATTCTCTCAGTTAGCTTTTGGATTGAAAATAAATAGCTATGTTTTAACCACTCAGATTGAAGTACTTTGAAAATCAAAATCTCATTAGATATTTACGACCTCTAATACAGTGTTTTTCAACCTTTTTTGTGCAAAGGCACACTTTTTTCATGAAAAAAATCACGAGGCACCCCACCATTAGAAAATGTTAAAAA